GTGATTCTGAAGAGGGTTCTGCGGCACCTGAAATGGTGAAGGAAGAGAAAGCATCGTCCGGGGCTATGATTACTCCTTATGTTGGAATGGTTTTTAAGAGTGATGATGATGCTTTTGAGTATTATGGCAACTTTGCCAGGAAGAATGGGTTCTCTATTAGGAAGGAAAGGTCTAGAATTAGCCCGCAGTTGGGGATTTACAAGCGAGACTTCGTTTGCTACCGCTCCGGCTTTGCCCCGGTGAAGAAGAAGCCTAATGGAGAACACCATAGAGATAGGAAATCAGTGAGGTGTGGATGTGATGCAAAGATGTACCTATCCAAGGAGGTTGTAGAAGGGGTTTCCCAGTGGTTTGTTGTGCAGTTTAGTAATGTGCACAATCATGAACTTTTGGAAGATGATCAAGTGCGTCTTTTGCCCGCGTATCGTAAAATTCATGAGGCTGATCAAGAGCGTATACTCTTGCTCTCCAAGGCAGGGTTTCCAATTCATCGGATAGTGAAAATGCTGGAGCAGGAAAAGGGGATTCAAGGGGGGCAGCTGCCTTTTTTGGAAAGGGATGTGAGGAACTTTGTTCAAAACCGTAAAAAGGTTGTTCTAGAGAATGAGGCATTGCTCAGTGAGAAAAGAGAAAATGATGTTTTGGAACTTCTTGAGGCGTGCAAAGTTATGAAAGAAGCAGATGATGAGTTTGTGTATGATTTTACTGTGGATGGGAATGATAAGGTTGAAAATGTAGCTTGGTCATATGGCGACTCAGTTAATGCAAATGTTATGTTTGGCGATGTTGTTTATTTTGACACATCTTATAGATCGGTCACTTATGGATTGCTTTTTGGAGTATGGTTTGGTATTGATAGCTATGGTAGAACTATTTTTTATGGTTGTGTTTTGTTGCAGGATGAAACACCTCAATCCTTCTCATGGGCATTACAGGTTTACTACTAGCATCCTCTGTATAAGATAAGATTTTACTTGTTCTTTTGTAAAACTCCTCTTATGGTGATTATTCCTCAATACAGACTTTTGTCAGGTTCATGAGAGGAAGATGTCCACAAACTATTCTAACTGATCTAGACCCGGGACTTAGAGATGCGATTATAAGTGAATTTCCAGCAACTAAACATGTTGTCCCTCAATGGAATATTCTACCCAAGGTACCCTGTTGGTTTTCTCCTACTCTGGGTTCTCGGTATACAGAATTTAAATCTGAGTTCGATGCCTTATTTCACATTGAGAATACAGAGGAATTTGAACTTCAGTGGAGCCAGATGATTTCTGTGTTTGGACTTGGTTCAGATAAACATGCTGATTTACTATATACCGTTCGGGCATCCTGGGCACAAGCCTATGTAAGAGGTTACTTTCTGGCTCGAATGGCGACAATAACTTACTCAAAGTCTATAGATGCATTTTTGAAAGGGATTTTCTCTGCTCATACGTGTTTGCGTAGCTTTTTTGAGCAGGTATGTTTGCGAGAAGTATCTTGTCTTGTATGCTTGCACTAGCCTAGATGCTGACTTGTCATTCTAATGATTTTCTTCTACTTGTCATTCTTATGCTTGCAGGTTGGCATTTCTGCAAGTTTTCAACATCAAGTATTTAAGGAGACTCAATATATTCAGCTCAAAACTTGCATACCGATTGAAGAGCATGCGCGGAGTATTCTCACTCCTTTTGCTTTTAATGCCTTGCAGCAAGAGCTGTTGCTAGCAATGCAATATGCTGCATCCGAAATGGCCAATGGATCATATATTGTGCGGCATTTCAAAAGGATGAACGGAGAACGGCTTGTAATATGGTTGGTTGAAGATGATCAGATACATTGTTCTTGCAAGGAATTTGAATCCTCTGGGATACTATGCAGGCATGCTCTTCGTGTATTTGTAATAAAGAACTACTTTCAGTTACCTGATAAGTACTTTTTAGGTAGATGGAGGCGGGAATGCTCATTACTTGTTGATGATGATAATAATAATCAAGGTGTTGGAGGGGAATGGTTTCAAGAATATCAGTCTCTGGCTGAAACTTTATTTCAAGAATCATCAATTACAAAGGAGCGATCTGACTATGTGCGTAAAGAACTGACGAAAGAACTTAATAGGATTCTTAACGAAGTTAGAAATCTCCCTGAGGCTGATGGAGTCTGCATGAACATGTCAGTTTCACCAGCCAACTAGTTTGGATGTTTAGTTGTTTATACTTGCAAGTTTGCAACCAATGTACATCACAATACAATGAAAAGAAGTAAGTAAAGAATGCATGCACAGGAAGTGATGAAATGAAAATGTCAAAATCACTTTCAGCTATGCTACGTGTACATTCTTCAGATATTATTTGTTGCATTAGTGCCTACAACTTTGTTTTCTCCTGTACAATGCAACAAAGAAAGTTAATTATGCCAAGAGAAATTGCTAAAAGCCGCACTTACTATTTTCGAATTTGACATCCAAAAGAGAATCTTATTGCTGTAGTGATAAAAAATAGACAAATGTTAATGCCGCAATATGGTACTGTTACAACTGTTAATAGTAGAGTTTACAAAATTAGAAGAAAATGTTGAGAACAGTTGCCTGCTTGAGACGCCATATCCCTTAACAACATCATCTTTGTCAACCAACGGGACAATACCTAATATTTGTGTTTTCATATCTTTTTTCTGTTAATTGATATAATGTAATATGAGCTTAGGTTTTTTAAGTTGATCTAGTTAATAGTTAATTGTATGTCAGATGATGAACCAGTAGTGACCATATTCTCTTCAATTATTATTTTTCCTCCCATCTTCTTGGCTGAATAGTTGGACCCACTTGAGTGATTGATGAATGAACACAGGGCTTGAGTTGTGCATTTGTCTTTTTACAATCAAATGTCATTTTTCTCAGACCAAGTTTTCAACAGAGATGTTATTTTGTGAAAGATCGTTCCTGTACTGATCCATGATATAGGCAATTATGTTGCAGGCTTCTATAATTTCATTTGTTGGAACATGTGCCAACAAGTATAATTGGTTTTGTGTTCTTAAGTTTCATGGCTTCACCCTCATCATGCAAGTGTCCCTGACCTTTCTAGATTTCTCCTTTTAAGAGTGAACAGTTAAATGTTTTGGCATGATATTTTGACGTGATTCGTTCCATCCATCAACTCCTCATATTCAAAAGAGGGTCCCTCCCTGCTAGAGGATGAGTATAGTGACCCTGTCCATGATATTTGGTCTTGATCAACAATAACACTGTTTACTTTCTTGGCTATCACTTCTTTCATATGTTGATTGTACTGATAGAAAATACTGTTTGTAATTTATTATGGGTTTCAATATATTAATAAATTTATTAAAAATTCTAAGGATGTTTTAGAAAATTATACTAATATAGCAAATCATTTTATTTTTAAAAGGGATTTCAGTCTTTTTGTAGAAAAAAATATCTCAATTTAATCTTGTGAAATTGTGGGTGTTACCAGATCGTTTAAAAATATTAATAACCAACTTAGTCTCCTAAAAATTAAAATTTTAATGGTTACCATATTGTTAATTATCTTTTGTCACCAAATTACTAAATATCACTAATCCTTCTGAAGACTTGAAGTGCTGGAATTATAAAATATTTCTTTATGGAAAAATATCTAAAGTTTCACTCAATTTTAGTTATAAAAAAAATCAAAACTATTCTTATGAAAATAAATCCAATCTTGAAAAATTAAATTAAAGAATTTTTTACAATTAGTGCTTTAAATATTTAGTCTTGTAAATTATGACTCTCTTTATAAAGACTGAAAGAACAAATTTATTAAATTGAAGAAAAGGATTGTATAAACTATAAACAATTAAAGCTTTGAAATGAAAACATTTGTTGATCAAAATGGCTTCGAAAACTTAGATAATATTCCCCAAATAGAAACGTTGTTGACCGAAAAAGAATGGACAACAATACTGATATAAAAAACTAATAAACGACAAACATGTCTATTCTGGCCGAAAGGGCTGTTACTTCGACAAATTGCATAATAGGAAAGAAAATTACACACTGCTAAATTGTATTACGTATTTACTACATTGAGAGAAATTTGCAGAATCTAACAAGAAATGATTGGATTGGATTAACTGCTGCAAATCCCCACGAATTTTAATTTGATATCATTTTAAAATTTGGTTGATTATTTAACTACATATATAAAGTGTCTTCACATTTTAAGAAATTAAAAAAATTATTAAAAATTACTGTAACATGGTCATAGCATCTAGACATTTCCATTTTTTTTTTTGGCAATATCATTTTCAATTTTAACAATCACATATATACTTTTATTATATATATATATATATATATATATATATATATATTTTACAGATTTTCATTTGCAATTATCCAAAACTATAGGATTCATATAGTTTTAGAGTAATACTATTTTCACTTAAAGTTCTCTCAACACTTACAGTAATAATAAAAAAATATGAAGCAAAATTTGTGAAAACTTTTGAGAAAATAGCATTGCTCACAATACTATGCCAAAAAAAATTCATTAATTATTCTAGCTAAAAAAAACTATAATTTCTGCTGTTGACCTGAACTTTGTCTTTCTTTTTAATTTTCACCATTGAGATTATATTTTGTATAATCGTTGATCAATTTTAATATAAATTTCCACATTAATTCTTGTGCCTTTTTTTCTACATTATTGTCTTCCCTGTATTTCCTTCACATAAAACAAAATCTTCGTTAAATCATTGGTATTTTTGTGGAAAATTCTTGGAATGTATATAAATCATTCTCTTTTTCTATTAATGCAAGTTGAGATATATTGAATGTTCATATTCAATATTTAGTTGTATGGATGATGTGCTTATTATTCAGATAGTTTGAATTAAAAGAAACGAAAATTGTAAATTAATTAAGGAGAAATAGAAGAAGAAAGACAAGACGAGAGGAACATATATAGAAATACGATCAGGTTATGGGGCTAAGATTGAACGAAACACCATTGAAAAACGACATGACAGAATTTCTTCGTACTGAAAAGGAAAGAAGCTTAAAAGATGGAAAACATGGAATGAATAGTTCTACACATGCAAACAAAAGTGACTAAGTTTCAATAAACTCTAGTTATTTGAAACAGACTGAAGCACTTTATTCTTTGTCTTCTTTTATTTTATAGATGCACTAATTAAACTGCAATAAGCTGTCTTTGAGCTTCAATTCTTATCTCTTCTTTCATTTTCCTTATGAACTCTTCAAACTTTCTGTTCAGTTCATCTGTATGTAATAACTCTTCATTGTTTGTTGTAGTAGTTGTTTCTGCAAGTTCATCATCTAGTGCCATCTCAACCTCGCTATCTGATTCTCCTTCTTTGATCTCCTCTTCAGTAATGTAACCTTCACTTTCTCTTCCTTCGGTTTTGGTGTCTTGTTCTTGGTCTTCGTCTTCTGGAACTTCTTCAGTGTATTCCTCTTGCCCCTGTTGTTCTTCAACCACCAGACAAACATTCTCTGGGGACGCAAAACTTTCGACCAGAGGAGCAACCACCATGTCAGAAACTGTTGTTTTTGTCTCTGACAGATCGGAAAGTTGGTCAAAGTCCGAATCTGAAGAGTTCATGAGTGACATCTTGGCTACAAATGCAAGGATTCCGTTACAAATGAGGAACACGTATTTTCTCTCAAGGGTGTGAGTGAACATGGAGAAAAGGCACGTGGAGAAGTAGGCATTGAAGGACTGAGGGTGTATGGAAAAGCCAGAAGAGTACCAAACAAAAACAGAAAACACAGAAACTGAGAGAACAAACTGCAAAGTTCTTTTCAAAAACTGTCTATTGTTGAAATATTCCCTCAAAACCTGATACTTGCTTTGGTTTTGATCCATAGCTGCTACCTTCTTGCAAAAGAAAGCTCAGAGTTGAAGATTTGTGAGAGAGTTTGAGGAGAAGATTTTGAAGTGAATGATGAATTGAGCTTCTATAGTTTGTGTCTTGGTGTGTAGTTGTGTGGTGTGGAGTGAACGATGAACTTCATGTTCTCATCTATTTATACTAAGCCTAAAGCTATAATGGTTTATTGGGTTGTTACGTAACTTGGCCAAATGGCTTAATTTTATGGATGGTACGGACACCAGAAAGATATACACAAGAAAATTTTCAAAACTCCTCATAATTACATAACATTATTGGAAGTTTCAAATTATGTTCCTAATATCAAATTTTGACATCAGTTGCTAACAACATAGACCAAAATAAAAAGAGACAATAACTACTTCGGAAAAAGAACAGGAAGAAATAATGGAAAAGAAGTGAAGATTCTAGGTGTCACCTGTTCTTCATAAGCTTGGTAAAAGAAAAAAAATAATATGATTTGGCGTTTAATTTCTCTCAACAATGCATACTCAATAATTTCTGTACATTCTGAAAATTCGTGGACCCTATCACGAATTATAATTTGAGGGCTACCACATCTCCTGCCTCAGATCTTCTACTACCCTTGTTTCATGCTTTTTGTCTTAGATGTATTTTTTCTTTTTTAAAAAAAAACTAACTACCAATAAAAATAAGATAGATAAACAAGAAAAATAATAGTTTTACTATAACATATTATTTAATTTGTTCTGATAATTAGAATATATAAATTTTCTTGAAGAGATTAGAAGGGATAGCAGCTAAAATAACTTGCCTAGGCAACTGGCATATGCGCATTCGGTGGAGTATATGATATTACTATCAGTTATTAAGATAAATTTAACATGTTTGGTATGTGTTTTATCTACCATCACTTTCTTTTATTTTCAGTCTATAAAGAAAATAAATAAAAAATAAAAAGCCACAAGAATTAACTCTCTACGTTGCTTATATGTAATAAAGAGAACGACATTTCTCTCTTCCTCACCAACATTTTTCATTTAAATACCAAAGGATCAAACCATTGAGATAGCATGTATAAATAAAATTAATACAACTTAAAAATAATATTACAAGTATGTGCATAAAATGTTTGTATTACATTCAATAGTCTCACTTAAGATTTAAGGTTAAATGCAATTTAAATAATTTTTTCTTCTTTCATCTTCTAAAATGTTTTTTTATAACTGAGTTTCACTGATAGACATAAAATTAAGAAAAAAAAACTTACAAATGAAAGTTATATTTCTTTTTGTCAAGAAAGATTTTCTTGGATACTATATACGTTCGTTACAAAATATATGTTAAAGAATTTTTATTTTTTATATGTATTAAGATATGAATATTAGTTTGACATAAATAGCAGCAACTTTATAATTTTTTAATTAAATTATTTAAAATTTAAATATAGTATCAATAGTTCATATTAATATTTAAAAAATAACATGTATTATTTTAAATTTTCAGAAATTTAAGATAACTTACAAGTCTTATATTAGATAAAAATAAATAAAATAAATAACGTGACCCATAATCAGTTTTAAGATCTTTTATATTAAATATTGTGTATTTTGATGTTAATTCATTGGTGTTAAAATTCTCTTATATTTCTTTTGAAAAAATTCAACATAAATTTTGAACAGGCATATATGTTAATAGTTTTTCTCAATTAAATTATAAAAGTTATATGTATTAAATACATATCAAGATATACAACTAATTAGCTATATTGCTCGACCATAAAATATTTGAAAAGGAGATAGAGTAGTATGCATTTGTGAATGTAAGAAGAAGTAAACTTTTTAAAGGAAATTGATGTAACTTGATCGGTAATGGTCTCGGGCAATTTTGATGAGAGTGATGAGTATGTTAGCACCACGTAGTCATTCCACAATTATTGAGATATTTTTGGTACAATAATAGACTACAAAAATGTGTGGATGTAGACACTAATTATAGTTTTATCCTCAATATTGAAGCTTCTCTAGCCAAAACCTTTTCAATACGTGACCACGTGTCATGTTTGTCTTATAATTAGTTAAATCAACCCCTCACACTACTCCAACCAAATTTGAATCTTCAATTGAATCATGCACAAGATACATTATTTTTCAAATACTAGTGAAAAAAAAACACTACATATTATATTAGTTCTAATCCATAAGATACAGAGTGATGATAATAATTTTGTAAATAATATAAAGTTTTTTATATTGATTAGAGCTAAAACAATATAAACATTTTTTTAATAAATAAGAAATTTTTTTATACATATTCTTACTTATAATCGATATAAAAAAGTACGTGCAATGAATATTGTGAGCATTGATTTTCTTCACTAGTTCAGTTTTGGTGCTTATCAATGTTCTCCAACTCGAGCCAATCAAATGATACTTCGATGTATAATAAAATAAGTGTTCAAGATCAATTTTTTTTATATTGTAGGAAGTGTTTGACACGATACAGGCTTTCATATTAATTACAATATTATTTTTATAATCATAATGTCTCATAAAACAAAATAAGTAAGTAATATAAGGAAGATAAAACTTGTATCAACTAATTAAATACACAAAAATCAATTAAAAATTATAAAACTTTTGAATATTTAAAATAATTTTTTTTAAAAAGGAATTAATTAAAAATACTAATTTTATCAAAAACCAAAATATGAAAGATATAAATTTTAATTTTAATATTTTTGGATTTTTTTTCTTCTACCAAATATTTGGGTATTAGAATTTAATTGTCACACTTATATCTGCTTCGTGATAACAAGTGCCTTAAAAATTACACACCAACATACCCAGTGCCATCATTTTTTCAAAAAATAATTATATGCGAAACGTTATAAAATATTAAACCTAAACATTTTTAAAAGAACTCAAACTTCAGCATATTTGTAATGTAATTTTCTTATAAAAAAATTTAAACCACTTTCTGTGGGCTCTAAAGTACGTTTTAATGATTATATAATAGTGCCACAATATCATTAAAAAAATACATACCCAATTTTTTCAATATTCTTTTTTGAAAATTCATATATTTTTACTTTATTTATTTATATTTAAAAAATACTTAAAAATTCGTGTTTTTATTAGAAAGTAACAATTCTTTGTAATAAAAATTGAAAAATATTCTTTGACACACATAAATCTTTTACATCCCATACTATCTTTATTTATTTTTTGTTCTCTTCTTTTTTGAAAAACTACAAAATTTTATATTTTTTAGACCATTTTACTTCTATATCTTGTGTCAAAATGAATGTAAAAGTGTATCATTATATTATTTCTCATAAAAATTTCTTAAGCCGAAAACATCATAGGATTACTCCATTGATACATTTCTTTCATGTTTGATTACTAAGAAACTGGCACTAAAAAAATTCATTAATGTCAAGTGTTATTATTCAGCACTATACGTGGAAACAAAACTGCCACATTACCGACACGTATCACCATCAACCACCTCAACCAAAAAACAAGAGCATATGCCATCAAATATTCATGAACCATAACACAGCGACAAATACAAGTGTACATGGACAACGACACATATTACCACAGCACAGCATTATCAATTTATTATATATTCACGTGCCTCATCATCATATACCACGGTCAAGTACACAAAACTTGAAAACTTACATCACCAACATCTACCACAGATTTTTCCAGAGAAAAAATGACATTTGATGATGATCATGGCCACAAGAATGCTCCCATTGCAAAAACTCTCTTTTCCTCGACACTACCCTTCAAACTTAATCCATATTGCTTCAGAAGCAACTCCACCTTCCACTCCTCCATGCTCTCATACTCCTCTCTGGTGTAGCGCGGATAGTGAAGTGGCATTTCAAACCCTGAACAAGGACACAACCCCTTCACCCTCTCTCCATTAGGGTACCCTTCATTCTCCTTGCACTCCTCTTCCTTTGTAGGGTACCCCACAAGATGGCAAGCTGAGTGCAGAAGCCATCTAAGAGCCATTTTATAAACTTGTGTCCTCTGAGAAACAGATACTGCATCACAGAAACAATATACATATATATATAGAAGAAGGTGCGCACTGTAAGACAAAAAAGTGCGCATTATTCGCTTTAATTAAGGAAATTAACAATCCCTTACGACATGTCTATGAATTTAGTATTCGTAGATTTCATGCTATGTTTGAAGTTGGTTGTTGCTTGGCCTGAGAGTCATCATATATGAATACGTGGGTGGGGATGCTTGGAGTATCGTAATAGGTCAAGTTGTCTTGTGGTTAATTCATATATTTTTCTAATTGCTACGTATATTATGTGCTGTTATCAATGATTGCTTTATGCAAGCTGGTTGTTGTTATAGTATTTCAGATATTAAGAATTTAACATTATTTAGTTATATTTTGGCCTTTTGATTGATATATGCCTAAATGCTAGCAAATGTTTTGTGTCTAATAATGCTAATAGTTTTCTTAAAATATTTTGTACGGTGTGAGTTTTATTTTTAGATAAAATCTATTTTTCCGTAATTCATATATTTTTAATAAGGTAAAACTAGATGATCAACCATACAAAGTATAAAATATATATTCATGTAAATATCAAAGTAAAAAGATAAATATAGTATTAAAATGATTAAAAGAATATTTGGTGACAATATGAAATAATAAATTATTATAAACTGAATGTTTAACTTCTGAGATTTTCTTTAAAAAGTTACTACTGAAAACTTCATATAATAAAAATTAATAAAATTATTATTATTTATTATCATTATAATTATAAGATTAAATATAATTCATTTTTATGATTTTATTGTAAATTTTTTTTATTTTGTAGGTAATTTTATAATTAAAAAATGGTTAAGTCTAAAAAAATAATCAAATTAAAAAAAATTAAAAAAAAAATAAATAAAAAGTAAAACTTATAAAATAATTATTTTAATTTTAAAAAATTATATAAAAATTAAAATTGAAAAACAAATTCGAACATAATCCGTTTAATATATAAATACATATAAGTTATGCATTTTTTACTACATAAATAACATATTTTAACGTAATATTCTCTTTTAAATTCATTAATTTTTTTATTTATCATCGATAATCTTTTTGGTTATATAAAATTTTCAATGTGACTCACATTTTCTTAACTGATTTCAATCTTTAAAAACAAATTGTTTTATAATAATGAGTTAAATTCCCATGAACAATTCTCGAAAATATTATTTTACAATAAAGAAACACAAATAAAGACTATTCACAATTAAACTCACATTATAGACCATAAAAATAAGAGTTTTAATGAATTTGAATGAACTTAACTACTAAGTCTGATAAATCTTTTATAGTTCTTCTGGAAAATATTATTACAATTATGGCTATATAAAAATAATGATCCATTTTCATCCACAACATGAATAGGCAATTTAAATATACAAAGGTCATATAAAATAAAATAAAAGTTGTATCATATTTAATTGACCAGTGAAAAGATAATAAATATAATATAGATATTATTAAGAACAAATTCATTTTCTTGATAAAGACACGAGGACAACAAACAAGTGAGGATGTTTATTTGGGTCTTTCTTCATGCACCTCCTTATCTTCCTGCAACCCAAAAAAGTTGTAAACCCCAAAATATCCCTTATTAAAATTATAATAAAAATTCGTACATTTCCTTATATTTTATAATCTCGGGATAGGCTTACTGGAAAAATATTTTCAAATTTAAAAAATGTTTTTCGAAATAGTCAACCCAAAAAGTATGAAAAAATACATTTTAGATAGATGGTTTTGAAAAACATTTTTTAATATGAAAATTCATTTTGAAAGCAAAAAAAGAAGAATAGTTAGGATTTTTAATACTATTTTATTGAGGAGTAGAATAGAGATTAAAGATTTTAGGAGTGCAAGAAAAAAACAATAAGGTGCAGGAAATAACAGTGGTGTATTTGAAAATTTCCATAATATCTAAAATGAATAGTCCAACAGGTTTTTAAGGGTATGATATAATTATAGGCCAAGATGGACCTAATTTACTATGTTCATTCGCTTTTCGCAATCCAAAATTTTATTTCTATACTAGTGCCCTTCCATTTTCATAAAATAAAAGTCATATATTAATATTTTTTTGGTAAAAAGTTACGTATGTTTTCTTTTGTAAAATATGTAATAATATTATATCATAAACTATTCTACCTATTAGAAATAAAAATCATATCATATAATATATTCACTCACACAAGTATATATTATCCAGATAATTTTTATCTCGGTATCTTCCCTCTATCTTATTCAAAAGATCACTTTCAAAGCAGGGAAGAATTTACATCAGTAACAATTTTGTACAATAATTTTATTATTTATTTTATTCTTTTACTTCTATGGCATTACTCATTTTCAATTTTGTCTTTCGAATTTCTGAAATTCTGAACTTCACTGTATCAATTTATGTACAACTAACATTTCATTCCAAGGATGAAGAACTAATAAAGATAACAACAACAAAATGTTCCAACAGTCTCACATTTGATACTAAGGGTGAAAAACTAAGATAATAACAAACATGTTCCAACTAGTATCCTAAAGAACAACTGCAGTTGAGAATAGCAGTTAACCAACTCAAAACTCTTCATATCATTTGATCTTCCGTAACTGAGCCTTAAGAAAACCTCATACTCATTTTTCCAGCGCCAGACCGGAACAGTAAAAAGTGAAGGAATTTTTTGTAGATGCATGTGATGTTGAAGATCATAAGAAGTGATTTTGAAGGTTTTTCATGTTTTTATATGCTTGTGACAGTGTCCCATTAAAATTGTGGTATATCCCACTAAGGTTTTGTGGATGAAAATGAAGGTGTTGTTGACAGCAACTATACTATTGCAACCTACAATTCACCAAACCTTATCTTCTTTCTCCCTTATCTTTCTCTCACTTCCTTCTCAATAACCCTGTGGAACCCACCTTCTTCTTCTTTCTTTTTTTTCCTTCCATTTCTTCAAAACCTCAACTACACATCTATGCCATGTTTGGATACTTCCTAAATTTCATCAAATGGAAAATTACACTATGTTTTTCAAAACTTAAAACTAATTTATATGGAAGCTTGTTTATAAAAGCTTTTTTTTATATTAATTATTATAACTTTTAAGTCATGTATAAATTAGTTATAATTGTTTGTAGTTTACAAAAAATATTTCGTATTGTTTTATTATTTTATAAATATTTATAGATGAATATATGCATTTGAACTTGCAAATTTTTTTAATGTTTATCATTTAAAGTATTATGATTATATTATTTTTATGTAAAATGTAAATATAGAAATAGGGCTTAAATTTTATAGTTTCAAACAACTTTCAAATTAATTTTCAATTTCCATTAGAGGACATATTAATGTACTTCATACTTTTTTGTTTTAATTAAAAAAATTAACTCAAATTTCAAGGTTTGGAGCAATTTCGATCTAAGGTGTTGGGCGTATGATGTCGTCATATGCTACTTTAAGAGTGACTTCATGAGTTAGTTATTGTTGGGTGAGTATGTGTTTCGTTGGACGAAACCAAAGTTAGTTACTGGCTTTATGTCGCTAAGCATCACCTTATACTGTTAGACATTTGTCTTTAAAAATCATCTAGAGTTATTCCAAAGGTTTTATCCTTGAGTGTCAGGTCCCTTGAGCACTACCGCTGGACGCACTTCTAATATCGATAGGTGATGGCATCCCATTTCGAGAGCAATAACTTTATATGCTTCAATTGGATCTATAAGATGAATTAGCTTTTGCCTAACTTAAAATGATTGATTTGTTCATCAGACGTAAAAAATGAATTAAATCACTAACATGTGAAAGAATACTTAAATAAAACACTAAAATGGTACTAATGCATAATTTTAGAGAGCTACATCCAATTACAACACTAGGAAGTTCAGTAACTCATAATGATCATAACATTTAATCCTAGGAGTTATTGTTTATTCCTCGTATTTCTTCTAAATCCTAAGAAAATATTACAAACTGCAAAGAGAGTTTGGAGAGAGACTAAGAATTTGGATATGGAATTTTGGATTGTATAGTAAAGGGTTTGCCCTTAATTTATTGAAAAATGGAGGTTGGTTGTAGCTCCAAACATGGTGGCCAATCTTGTGAGCTTTTATTTCATGGAGGGTTTCCTTGTAGCTTAGACTTTGTTCTTATTGTTCAAGCACAAAACTTTTTCAGTGGTGGGTTTCTTCCACAGTTGAGCTCCAAAACTTGGTGTTTGAGGTTGCTTTATGGTGAAGGTTTGCTTACGTGACTCATACACCATCTTCTCTGCTTGAGCTGTGGAAACAAATTTTGTATCTTTTAGAAACTGCCTTTGAGTGCTCAAGCTGTTATTTTGATGCTTAAGCTATTATGCTATGTTTCTTCTAATTCTTTAGAAATTCATCGAAAGTACATTAGTTTTACCACACATGTTTATATCCTTATGTTTTTCCTAAATTCTTTAAATATCACGAGGAAAATCTAAATTATGTAATAAAATCAACAAAATAAATGCAAAAATGCATGTGAATTATAGATAAAGCGAGCACTTATCATTGGGTGTCATTTGTTATGCATCTTTGAGTGATTGTTTTATCTGATTTTATGATACCAAGTGTGATCTTAATACTGTATTTGGTTTGTAAAGTGAAACAAAAGGTATGAAAGGATGAGTTGTAGTGCATTTTTAGGGAGGAAATCTCATTGAATGTGTGTTTTCACTAGGGTGTGACTTGAGACGATAATTGTTTCATTTTATGAAGCTATCATGACTGACTATTCATACTCACGTAGAGGAGTATGGTTAGATGGTGAGAGTGACAGAAGGTCTTGTTAATAAGTGTCTAAATTGAGTTAATTTTGAGATGAATTTAACACTTATTTTGATTTAGTTATGTTAAATTTACCAAAATTCAATTTATTTTGCAGTTTCCAGCATCATGAGAGTCAAAATGGAAAAACACATAAAACTAGATGAAATGCATGCAATTATGTGGAAACTTTAACTGATGAGAGGTATAATTGAGGTTGAGTCATAGAAAAAACTCTTTGGAAGAGGAAACCTCAAGCGCTAAACCTGAGGTTAAGCCATAAAGACTCATTTTCAAAGAAGTTATCTTAGGAGCCTAGCATTAGAGCATGAGGTTGAACTATAAAACCAAACTCACAACCTCTATTGCTAAGCCATAAGTGCACTATTGAGCACTGCCCTAGATAGTTTATAAAATTAGAGTTGTATCCTTGTTTTAGTCAGACTTTTTGGGAGATTTTGAGAGACACTTTTAAAGAGATTTTTAGACATTTTTCTCTGTACTTATTATATACCTATAGAGAGAAAGAAGAGACACGACTATCAAAAGCATTACAAAGTTTGTATCCATTGTGAGAAGCTAAGTCTCTTTGGTGTTGAAGCTAAGATGTAAACCTTTGAAACTCTAGTGTACTAGTATTGTTATATTTATCAAAGTATGTTTTTATTACATACATGATTGTGAATTAATTTATGTTTATTGTTGGATGAACTGATTATTCATTTTTGATAAGTATGAAAAATACATGTTTTCAGACTTATTAATTAACTCAAAATTTGTATTTATTCATGGAATAATGTGTTTTCCTCATTGAAAAGTTGTAATTAGAAGTAGGAAAGTGTGTAATAAATTGTACAGGAATTTATACATCAAAGTGGAGTGCTATCAGATGTTTCTCGCTAAGCCAACATTAAATCGCTCAACTAAATAGAGTTTTTTTCGCTCAGCGCACCAGCACAACTCGCTGAGCGAATAAAGGACAATTAAAGATATGCTGCAGTTGAATATTCGCTTAGCGCATAAAGAGTTGTGCGCTTAGCGAATCAATTATTTTTTCAATTGGCTTTTAAAGTGGGAAATAGACAGAAAGAACGAGAGAGAAGTTCCGGAAAGAAACGAAAACATCTCAGAAACTTCAGGAGACTACTTCGAGTTATCAAGACACCATTATCGCAAGGGATTGTGTCAAATGTGTACGTTCTAGATGACTAGGAGTAGTTAAATTTTTCTTTCGTTGGAATTGGATGTAATGAACTCACTCTGATGTAATTTTCCTGTTCAATATATCGTTGTTCGTTCATATGCTCTTTCTTGAATTTACTATCATTGTATGGAAATATAATGTTATTTGAATGTTTCTGATTACGGGAAAGTAACTTTAAACATGGACATAGATAGAACACCGAAGTGATTTGAGATCTAGGGATAGACTCAATAACTTGGTCATTCTTAACATTGGACTTAATGCAAATTTTATGTTAAATTGACTAAGGGATTAACATTTTGATATATTAATTTAGAACTAGTTGCTAAGGGATTAGGACTAGTATGCCTTGATGTGAATGTTTGAATGAATTAATGAAATATTGAACAGAGTTTTATATTCATATGATTCATGAAACTCAATTCCAACAAAGTTTCTTTTAAATATAAATTCCTTGCACACCAACTGTTTGATAAAATACCAAAAAGAGTTTCTTGTGTTGTTTTGTGCATTTTGATGTCTAATTGAGTTATAAAAGGAAGAATTGTCATGTGTTGCACAAGTCCTTTGAGAGAACGATACTCTGAACTTACTCTATATTACTTGGAACGATTTGGTATACTTCCCAAAAAGTTATCAATTTTATTTCATTAGCTTGAGATTAATTGAAAATTGGTTCCAATTTGTGGTTCAACTAAATCTTCTTTTACTTTTATGAATATATATATATATTATATATATATATATATATATATATATATATATATATATATAAGGCTTTAATTGACTGTAGAATCACGATCTTAATGCAAGTGATTCATTCAAGCAGTCATTGAGGAATTATACTCAAGTTTGATAATATTATACTATAAGTGTTAAGAATGAACATAGAGTTACATTTAAAGAGAACTTCCAGTACATGAATAATTATATCTTTGTAAATAATGATTGGATCACGACAAAGGAAGGACAAAATGGCTAAATTTAGCTTCAACACGTCTTTATCATATTGAAACCAACCTTTTACTCAAAACTGTTTTAACACTTTTTTGTTACATTAAATCAACATCTTTATGTATCAATCTATCTTTACACAACTCAAACATTATTTTATTAAAGTCAAACTGGTTCAAACATTATGTATACTACAAGATATTTGTGGATACACACTTGTACTACAAATTACTCAATATACATGTTGCAAAAATTGATTGCATTGGACCATCGACACCTGTCATAAGGACAGTTTCAAGGTTTTTATGACCATGACCAAAATTAACCTTTTATATGATAGTTTAGTAGAGTAGTATATACTACCATAAGTGCATGATTTTACAAGTCTGACTCAAATACACATATTTAGATAAATTGAGTTTAGACAAATTTAATTGGATGTGTGAATTTATTATGAATGGTTGCTTTTATATCTAAATGTGATGATTAAGTGGATTTTAGGTACTTGGTATTTATCTATTTCTCTTTTTTAGTTAGTTTATCTTTCTGGTTGTCTTGTGTTGTGTCTTCTTGTTGCAATGATCACCATTGTGATATGAACAGAGAATGATGCAAGAATTGATGTATATCAGAACGTTGATGAGTCTTCAATTTGATCCTTAAGATAAGAGTGCATGATTGTCATGTATAATTTTATGGGAATCTGTACTTATAGTTAAATAGTTTCCTTATATATATAATATGTTAATATGGTATTACTCCTTTGAGATAAATTTATTGATATTATATATAATTAAAATTATTTACTATTAATTATCATTTATAAAATTTCAAGTTTAATAGTTTTTAGTATTAAATTGGGATTAAATTGAGATGTTATATCTACTAAACATCTTATAATAATATAAAAATGATATAATAGAAAAGTTAATATAATATAATTAATACAAAATAAAAGATATAATTATATTTATTAACTTAATATTTGTTATTTTAATAAAGAATAAATATAAATAAAAAATAACACAAATTTTTATTTATTTATAATTTAAAATGATAGCGTAAGTTATTATACATATTGTTAAAAATCTCAAAGTAACTTATTAGTTACACGGACTCTTTTTAGAAAAATAACAAGTCACTAAAAACACCCTTTACTAAGGGATAAAACTCTCATAAACACTAAATATAACCCCCAACTAAAAACAATCATGTTCGTAGTTAAGTGTTCTAAAAAAATACTCTAAGAAAAATAAATATAACTTTTCTACACTTAAAAAGCATTTACTTTTATTTTAAAACTTTTAATTTTTAATCTCATGTTTTTTCTTTGTAATTTTATTCTTCATATTTTTCTTTGGACTCAATTTTTTTATTCCTATCATAAAAAGGTGGACAGAGATGTAATTACACGTACCTTTTTATTAATTTTTAAACAAAATGAAAATACAATAAATATTGATATTATTTTTGCTTAAAATTGGAGAAAAGTAATTATTTATTTTCAAAATATAAAAAATGTGTATATATTTTAAAATCAGAATAATAATGAAGAAGTCTAGAAAAGAAAATGATAAACTTAAAAGTATGTAATACATTGCTTTTAATAGTTGGATGCAAATTCAATCACTATTTAAATATAAGTCATATATTCATGGTTACTTAAATTTTTAGATAGTTGTTGATAACTTTCTTTAATTTCAAAGAATTTTATCTTCATTTATAAATAACTATTATAAGTAATTTTTATTAGGGATGCAGTAATGGTTTACAAAAAAACTTAATCTTTATAATATAATGTTTCTACTAATGTTAATCTTCAAGTTTGACTTTAAATAAATAAAAAGTAAAAGGCCGGTAGAGTGAGTTTTTTTTTTTTAATTAAAAGCAAATTATAACATATCTATATTTATGAATATCTTTTAGTTAAAACAGTAGTTAATTTATTTGTAGGTAAAAACAGTGGTTAAGGAGAATCTATTTTTAGGTTTGAATTCAGTTGTAATAAATGTCATATAGCTGTGTAAATTTCATTTAAAATGTTGAGACTTTGCTATCATATTTTGAACATTTTCACACATAAAAATACTATATTTCTTTTAAAGTATTTGTATTACAAGCTAATCATATAAAAAAATTCTTAAATAATGAAATGTATGAATTTCTCACTGTAAATCTCAATCAAAAAGTTAATGCATATTATTTTAATGCTACTTTAATACATTTAATAATCTCACATTTAATGTTGTTTTAGTATAAATTCTTTGAATTGAATTTTAAAAATAAAATTTTAAATTCCAAAACTGATCTTAACAATATTATCTTCACCTATTTAAGAAATTTTGAAAAAAAATAAAGGGATTCAATAATCAATCATACAACTCTAATTTAAAAACACAATTTAAATAAAACATATGCTACAGATTAAAAAATATAAAATTACAAAGTCATAAAAAATATCCATCAAATAAGAGCTAAAAAAAGTTATAATTAATTTCCAATAAACTCTCACTGATGATAGTAATAAATAATGTGCTGCTATAGTATTAAACCTTTCAAATTCATTTTTATGTAAACATGAATATATCATAAATTTTACCAATCAATATTATTTTATCTTAGGGAAATTGTTACCTTTCAATATGTCAAAGGATTTCCACTTTTTATCACAAAAAACAATATTTCCATATTTATATATATGATTATTTTCTTAACTTTTGACTTTTAAGTTGGGACATTCTACAAGTGTAAACCTATTTTATAGACAATCTTTAAGGAAGTGACTACAACACTGTGTGCAGTATGAGTAGGAGCCACCTTTCCTAAGAATATCACAATGACACAGAAAAAGAAAATTAAGATGGAAAACTTGACAATGAGAAAACACAACCAAATTTATTACAGTAACGGTCGTATGGATAGGACACAACTACAAGCAACAACATGGGCATGATGGAGAAAAGGTAGTCAAATAGAGAGCCACGTGTCAGTGAGTACAATGTAGTCGCAGCACTCGAATATCCCTCCAGGAAAAACAAGCACAATTCCCATAATACCCTCGCAGTTCTTCTCTTTCTCCTTTCTCTTCTCCTCAACCCACTGATTCACACCACATGGCACAGAAACAGAAGAAGAGAAGAGAAAGGTCACTTGGTAGCAGCAGCAATAGCAGAGCAGCTTCAACCCTGTCTCTCTCTTTGTCTGCTCTATTACCCATTTTTTCTCCCACTAAAGAGGACCCAACCATGGTCTCTAATCCTTCCCCAAGAGTTTAAAGTTTTTTTTTTTCTTGGTTTTGTTTTTGTTTTGTTTGTTATCTGGATCGTCTCGGTCACCCCTCCATTGAACCCACCTGGCCCCACCCACCAAAACCTTCGTCACAGACACAGCTAAACACACAAACTTCCTCACACTCCTAGTTATTGCACACTCTCTTGAATGCGCTCTAACATTTGTGTTTTTTCTAGTCTTTCCCTCCTTTTGCTGGGCATTGTTTGACTTCACTTTCAGGACTCCTCTCACTTGGTTTTCTCTCTCTTCAATTCTGGCGGTGATGTTTCACTCTCTCCAGAACTTGATCCCTATTGCTTTGCGGGGGGTTTTTTTTTTTGAATTGCTGTATTTTTGCAGGTTTGGGTGCTGTGAGATGGTTTGACTTAGGGGGTGGTGGTTTGTGTTAGGGTTTTTCCTTGTACAATTTGCCGTTGGTGGAGGAACTAACTGTGGTAGGTTTGAGAATGTCTGGTGGGGAGGTAGGTGGTGGGGATGTTTTTGTGGCCTGGGAGGAGCAGGTGATATGCCAGGAGCGTGGGAACCGAGTGATTCACTTCTATCTGAAGGATGCGACCGGAAATTCGGTGCTGGCGGTTGTGGGGACGGAGAGGAGTGTGAGGCACATGATGTATGTTGTCCCTGACCATTTCTTGCAGGCCTATGGATCCACACAGCCCATCAATGCCTGCAAGTGGAGGGCACGGCGAGAGGTTGTTGACTGGCTTACTTGTTTGGTCTCCAGGAATAGGTCACACCATCCAGGTAGTTTGACTCTTATAGTATTCTATGGGTGATTTGTATGGTTGATGGAATGTTCATTGTGGATGCATGTGCTGAATGTTACTTACTACTGTTTGCATGGTCTTTTGCCTTGGAATTTTACCAGGAAGGTTGTATGTTTTGTTATCCCTCTAATGTTTTGAAAAAAATGGTTTGTCACGGTGGTTTGTTATCTCAGCTACAACAATAAGGATTTTGGGATCACCAGGACTGCAATTGGAGCTGCATTTGTTCATAATTTCCTGCAATATCAACTGGTACTGCAGTTTGAAAACTTTCCAGCCTAATGGCAGGCTTGATTGTTGGTAGTAAACTGTTGTCATGCACTAACACCTGAAAGCAACAAGACCTGCGCTGATTAATTGCATGATGGCTTGGGTGTTGTCAGTTCTAGTAGGTCATAAACTGGTGTATTGTATGGACACCAGAAAGCTACAAAACTTGTTCTGATTAATCAAGAAATAGCTTGGCTGTTTGTAGTTGTTAGTTATAAACTGCTGCCACAGCAAAGCTACAAGGCTTGTTCTGATTAATCTCACAACTTTTCTTTGTATGAGTTTATCTATTAAAGGAATTTGGTAAAGACTGTGCTATATTGTACTGATTAATTGCATGATGGCTTGGTTGTTGTTAGTTTTAGTAGGTAATAAACTGGTGTCTTGTACTACCACACCTGAAAGCGACAAGACTTGTTCTCATTATTCAAGAAATAGCTTGGTTGTCTTTAATTGTTAGTTATGAACTGATCAATGTCTTGTATTAATGCCAGAAAGTTACAAGGCTGGTTCCGATTAATCGCACATTTTGCTTCATATGATTTTATCTATTAAAGGAATTTGGTAAAGCTTGTGCTATATTGTGCTGATTAATTGCATAATGGCTTGGTTTTTGTTAGTTGTTGTCGGTAATAAACTGGTTCTTGTATCACCAGCATTAGAAAGCAACAAAAATTGTTCTGACTAATCAAGAAATAGCTTGGTTGTTTTTAGTTGTTGGTTATAAAATGACTGGTGTCTCATATTAATGCTGGAAAGCTACAATGCTTGTTCTGATTGACTGCACAATTATCCTTCCTATGAGTTTATCTATTAAAGGAATTTGATCAAGTCTGTGCTGAGTTATATAGGTTATGTCGTCAACTGACTCATTTGTTTGTTTTGGTGGAATTGTCTGCTTCACATGCAGTAGTTAGGTTTTCAGCGTGCAATCACATTTTTCTATTGCTTTAGGTTATTTTGTATTTGTGAAATATTAATTGCAGATGCATGTGCTTGAAATTACTGTGTGCATGGTTTCGGCTCACGGAATTTTGACATTGGCACTTAATGGGATAAGACTCGGTTTTTATTAATTTTTCAGCTGTAACCGCTTGTCCTGTATTTTTTTAATGGTTTTGGCTCACGGAATTTAGGTTTTTATTGGCACCTAATGGGATAAGACTCGGTTTTCATTATTTTTTCAGCTGTAACCGCTTGTCCTGTATTCTTTTAGAAAGACTTGTTCTGTTTAATAACGGAAATGCACTTCCCGTGAGTTTATCTTTTCAAGGAATTTTGTCAACTCCTGTTATTCTTTCCTGCATGACCACTTGCGTAAAAGTTATTTTACATGCACCTTATTTGTGGGATGTTGTCTTTGGACTTATTGAAGATTTACAATAATAGGTGAATTTATTTTGGAAATCAAAGATTTTTTATGATTTGTTCAAATTGAGTAAAGTGGTTTATTTTGAAATAGTGTCACTACCACATCAAATATTTTATTTGGATTGCTTAAGTGCAAATTTAATGGAATTTATATTCTACTTTTCCTAGCTAGCTATTAAGGATGACTAATTATCGCCATGTTAGCATTTTTCATTGATGTTTTCCATGTTAAGTGAATAAATGTGAGAGTAGCTGTGATTGGTTTGTTATTCTGGTTGGTGGCCTGTCGTTTTGCTTATGTAATCAATACAGCAGCAATCGAAAAATTGTTCTCTTTCCTTTCTTGAAACATGAGATATTAGGTATTGTATTAATACATTATGGTATTTCTTTATATGTGCACTTATGGTTAGGAAAAACATTGTTTAGAGACTTAATCTGGCCTTCTGGCTTGAAATGCTTGCTTCCATTATGAAGCAAGGCAGAAAAGGCACCAGCCTTTTCAGTTTTGATAGACTGAAGAAGAAATAGCTAATAATAATAAAAGAATTAGGGTTCTAGGGTTGACAAACCACTCATATACTATATATATATATGTTAGGTTACTTTATGCCAATAACCTAATCAAGACTCTCTTCTCACCACAACTCTCGAATAAAGAATGGAAAAGTATGTATATATGTATTAATGATGAATGAGTGAATCAGAATACAAGAATCACCCCAAGGAAGCCTAACCTTCCTCCTCTGGAAAATATCCAGTCTGAACAAATTCTCCGATCCCCCTCTCCCCCTACTTAGTTTATTATTTATACCTTCTCTCTCTTCTAACAACTATAACATATTACTCTCCTTACACGTGTCTCACACGTGTCTAACTCATTCTCTTTTATTCCTAACATTACTCCCCCCCTCAAAATCAACCTTGTCCTCAAGGTTGAAGTTAGGGAACTGTTATTTGCCGTAATGNTATATATATATATATATATATATATATATATATATATTACATGACAACTTAATACAAGTCTTGTGGTCTACTTATTCTTGGTTTACTTGTATAATACCTCAGTAGTCAATCCCAACTAGTAGCATGGTGTGGTGAACCCCAAAAAGCTCGAGGGACAACAGGATGACCACTATTTCGAACCTAAACACCAGGCATCAACTTATGACTGCTGTAGTATATATGTTGAAAAATAAAGAAAAATTACCCAAAGTTAATAAGTCATTGTTGCTTCAACATTTTGAAACCTAAACCCTAAACATTTTTAAAGAGACTGAAGATAGAATTGAGTAGAAAGTCTTGAAAGAGGGCTTAAGCCTAATCTCACAAAAATTGTTGCAAAATGAGGTTTGAATGCACCTATATAATAATTCAATTATATCTCCAGCCAATGTGGATCTCTCACACATCCTTTCATGTCGAATACTGAAAATCTCAAACCTGACAGGTTAGGATAGATTTTGGTACCATCTTACCTAGTGGGTTTAGGTCTAACTGAATCTTACATAATCAATTTGAAAGGTGAGGTTTGTACCCATTTACATAGTATATAATTTGATCATATATCTAACCGATATGAAATCTCTATAAGAAAGAAGTAGAAATAAGATTGAAATGGCAGAGGACAGGTTACAACAATGACGAAAATGCCTAAAATTAATGAGGAAAGAGGAATATATTTGTAAACCAGTGCGAACAAAGTCTCAATGCCAAAAAATTGGCTAGAAAGTGCTGCGTGGCAGCAAGGAATAGTGTGTGGTGCTATAAACTTGCAGACAAGTGCAGTAGAGGGTTCTGATGTATAAGAAGCTAAGGAAAATCTTAAATGGATCAACTTCAAATTGCCTAATCTTCCATTGTTTCCCTCTATATATGAGCTTGAAATGGAAACTTGTCAAGGGGGAAACTATCTCTAGTACCTTATTTGACATTGCATTAGCAAATGTTGTAGACTATTGTGATTTGAGCCGCTCCACCAGTAACATTTAGGCGTAACATGACTCAATTCGAAGAGTGGTGACCTTTGTTTGACGTTCCATATTGAGTAGTATAAACTACTTAATCCACATTTGAGGCTCTTCCACCTAATAATAGATTAGTGTTTTGGGTTAGACTCTCTACAAGTGCTCTTTAATGAGGAGTCCAACTAGAAAAACCATTGTTGGGTGGAAGAGTCTCAGGACTGAAGTACTACATCAAGTAATTTATGCTACTCAATGTAGAATGCCTAACATTGCCACTCTCTTTAAATCCGCAACAACTTTCACTCTATTGACACTACTAAATAGTAGGTTTTTCTATTTGACAATATTAGTGTCTTATCAGTATTCAGTTTGCACCTTAATATAGCCTATAAGTAATCCTTATCTTAGCCTGACTCTCAATGAAGTAACCTGTAGAGAAGAGAGAAACCAAGAAGGCGTATGATAAAATATGAGTGTTTATGACCACAAAATGGAATTACAGAATATTTTGTTACCCTATTTTTGGCTAATACCCTAATATCATCATTTACTATATCTATAGGATTCTAACACTCTCCTCAAGTTGGAGCATATAGGTCATATGTACCAAGTTTTTCACATATGTAGTTAATCCAAGGAGGTGAATATATATGCTAGGTGATCATCAGAATTTTCCCAGATATAACTTTTTCTCTAACAGTTACAATTAACTTCAATATGCTTTGTCCTTTAAAGTCATATCTTTAGCACTGCCTCTCAAGTTGAAACATATGTATAAGTCAAGCATGTTACAAAGCTAGGTGGTTGTTGGAGCTGACAAAGTATATAATGACAAAGCTTCGCACATCAATTTAGTGTGTGTGAAGATGATTTGCCAATTAGCTTGTGGCACATGGTGGCAGTTGGCAGTGAGTGAGGCAGCTAGTGGTTGCCAAATAAGGGCAACTCCAATTATAGAGTTACATTAGTGGTAAGAGGATGCTGTGATTGCAGGAGTGCAAATAAAACTCGGGGAACAATGACTATTGTAGAGCAATAATTGCTCGGAGAATGCAATGATTTTCAAAGACCAAAATTGGTCAAAGGGCACGCCAACTGCCTGAGGACAAAATTGCTCAAAGGACACAATGACTACCAAAGAGCAAAAAGATGCTTGGAGAGTGTGGAAATTACTGGATAGCAAAAGAAAGATGCTCGGAGAGCCATTGCAAAGCAATGCCAGTTGTGGCACTATCGACCAGAAAACACTCCTGAAAGTCTTATGAGGTGAACAGTGAAGCACAACTGAAAAAAGAAGAAAACCAGAAACCATACATGGGTTCTAAAATTTTTACATTTATTAGAAGTTGGCCTACGGGGAAAGTATGAATTAGGGTTCCTTTCTCGTTAGGCACTTTAAACCATGTTGAGAAGAGAGAAATCAAGAAGACATTTAATGAGTTCTGTATGTTTAGACCACAATGCTATTGAATTTATAGGGGAAAAACATAATTACAAAATATTTATTTACCCTATTTTAGGCTCTAATAACATAAATATAAAATGAATCTAATTGATCCTAATATTAACAATTACTATATATATTGGGTTTTACCATATCTACAAGATTCTAATTGTACCAGCTAGAACTTATGAAAATAAGGAGATCCAACCCAAAATTGTAGGGCAACTTTGGCTGTATTAAGGTGAAACCAAATGTTGATATGTGAGTAAAGTTATCAAAGGGAAAGGACTGTCGTCGGGTAAGTATTGATAAAGTGAAAATCGTTGAGGATGTTGGTTTTCAAAATGGGTAGCAATGTGAGTTCCACATTGACAAGAATAAACTACTAAATGTGGTACTTAAAATCTTGACCTCTCACACCCTATATTATTTCTCTTTTAATTTGGAAGTGAGCCTAGCCTGTAGTTATTTTTTCATGGCAAGAAAGATTTGATAAGGTATCCATTGAGCAATTGGTAAATTTTCTTTGGTCTTATGTTACCATGAAGACAATTATGGCATTGAGTTGGGTAGTTTGTTGATTTCAATCTTTTCTTGAATCAGTTTTAAGAACATCTTTTCCATGGATAAATAATTTCTATTGATGCTAATGAACTTTACATTTCATTCTATCCCATGCCTTTTCATATTTGTTTAGAATACTATTATTATGAGGTCCAAAAAAGACAGGAACCTTCTATTGAAGAAAATTATGGTTTAATTCTTTTTACTTGATGTCTCGCTAGCTAATTCACTATTTTTGTTGTTCCTATAAAGTAAGAGGAATGTCTTTATGTAGTATTTTAGGTAGGTATAAATACTCTGAAGACCAATAGTTTGAACATTTTGTGAGAAGGAACCAAAGATGAACTAACATTACAACTGAGTTGAGTTGGATGCCACTATCTTAGGATGGGTTTTTCTAACGATTTCCTTCAACGTAACTTTCATCAATGAGAAAAAAACCTTAATTCTCTGTTTTCATCACTGGAAAGTGTGACTGTCTGTTTAGCAAGCGTTAAATGGCAATCTGAACACTCTTAATGTGGTTATGTGATCCCTTAGTCCAAATAAAATGCTTTATGCCCTTTTGTTGCAAAACTAATTACTGGTTTTTCGAGATGAATCTCCTTTCCCTAATCTAGTGGATATTTTTGTTGTCTTATCCTCATTTTTCTACAATTTGATCCACTAGTTCTTTTAGCTGTTTTTTCTGTAGTTGTGGAAAGAAGACATTTTAAGCAACCATAACCTTTCTGTCACAGGTGTACAATTGGATGAATTTGCACAAGTTGATGAATCTCTCAAAATTTTAGTGCCTGGAATTAATTTCAGTAATAAGATTTTACCTGATAAAATGGTAAGGAAATGACAACTAATTAAATTCATATCTCTATATTTTCGCTTCTATCTTCATGTGATTAATTAACCATGTATTTTTTCTTGTACTGCAGATTTCTAGGAAACTAAAATTCCAAACCTCGGATATTGAATGGTCAGGCAGCACTTGGTTTTGTGCTAAACAGCTGAAGCACTACTCAGGGTTTTGCAGGAATGGAACAACCATAAATGTGAGAAAATTATTTTGTTTTTCATTATATCTCAATTTTTTTCCTCGCTAATAGGGACTTGGTATTATGAGGTGCCTAAGTCTCACATCAAGTAGTATGTGATATTCGGTGGGATATTTAAGTGTTTGGTTCTCTCCTATTCCCTAGTAGCTGGCTTTTGAGGATGGGTTTCCTAAGACTTTGAGTGCTTATCAAACAGTAACAAAGTTGGCTGTCAGTGTCTGGGAAAGGAACCTGTGGAGGTTTTAGACCAACAAGGAGTTGAGTAAAGTGGTATCAAGTAATGTATTGTGAAAGTGAAGACTTTGGCTCTTAGGGGTAGTGCTGTGATAAGGACTTGGGTATTATGGGGTGTTTAAGATCACATCGAATAAAATGGGATGTTTGATGGAGTATTTAAGTGTTTAGATTCTCCTTGACAGATAGCATTTGAGGGTGGCTTCCCCAAGTGCTTATAACCCACTTTCTTGGTACCATATACTTTTTCTGTTTTTGGATTTGTTTAATTTTTATGATTCTGAAGCTATTTTTTGTAAATTTTAGGTTCATTCATTTGTGTATATTATGGCTGAAGAAGAAAACCATTATCTTGGTTACTTGGAAGATATGTATGAAGACAAGAAGAGACAAAAAAAGGTGAAGGTGCGTTGGTTTCATCATGGTCAGGAAGTTAAGCAGGTGATTCCACAGCTGATTCTGCAAGAGGGAGAGGTTTTCATCACACCTCATGTTCAGGTGATCAGTGCTGAGTGTGTCAATGGTCCTGCGACTGTTTTGACTCCTAAGCATTATGAGAAATACCTGGCTGCTGTGCCTCATACATCTTTATCCGAGATCCATACGTGCTTTAGGCAGTTTAAAAACAATAGGCTTAAGCCCTTCACACTTACAAAGTTGCGTGGGTATAGTAGCCAGCCTGTTCTTTCTTGTTTAAATAGTCCTATTCTCTCCAAGAGAAAGGCAAAGTTTGAAAAGTCACACACAGATGATGATGAGAACTTCACTCAAGATGATCCTTTAAGGTCCAGCAATAAGAGGATTAGATGTTCTAAGGATCACATATTTGGGAAGGCTTTTTCTGGTCTGCAAGTCTCTGTTCCTACCAATGAAATGACAAAATGTGGACTGAAATATCCCAGTTTAAAATTAAAACTATCAAGAAAAACAGTAGGTATTAAGGTTATTGGACCAAAGCCTAAACTGCCTTTTCAGGTCGGTGCTAAGATAGAGGTTCTTTGTCAAGATAGTGGCATTAGAGGATGCTGGTTTAGATGTAAAATCTTGAGCATGTCTCCGAGGCTGCTGAAGGTCCAGTATGATGATTTGCTTGATATAGACGGAGCACAGAAACTAGAGGTATGCAATGGCTTGTGTTTTCTTTTCTTTATTCTTTCTATCTATCTTATCTCAGCATTGCTGAACTACTGATTGTAGTAATTTTTGGACATAGAAGTCCAATCATATAAAAACAATTCTATTGATCCATGAAGCTAGTGAAGAGTATGGTTCTCAGCCTGTTGTTAACACTTTTAGGAATGGGTTCCTGCATCTAGAGTGGCAGCTCGTGATAAATTGGGTATGCGATGTTTAGGCCGCTTAACAGTCCGGCCATGCCCTCCTGAATACAATTCAAGTCGTACTTTTGAGATTGGAGCAGCAGTGGATGCCTGGTCGTGTGATGGATGGTGGGAAGGGGTCATAACTGCAGTTAATGTCAGCGGAGATGGAATCCTGCAAGTTTACACCCCTGGTAGGATACATTTTTTTTCTTTAATTATTGTGATGTAGTTCACTAGCCCATGGACTCCGTGAGTTTGTGAATCATGTTTTGTTCGGGTTTTATGTCTGACAATTGGTAAATATGACTTTCTCATTAGGTGAAGAGAGGTTCCTAAAGGTCGAGCAGAAGAACATTCGGATTTCCCGAGATTGGATCAATAACAGATGGATTGATATACGAGGAAAGCCTGACATTTGCACTTATTTAACTTCAAATGTCAGGTCCAGCATCGGGATGTCAGCTAATTCTGCAGTGGTGGATGGATCCATGTCTGATTGCTCTGCTTTAGAAAGTAAATCATCATCAATTCCCAAAGTTGAACTTGCTAAGAAGGTTGAACCAGAATCGTCTGGTTTGGAAATCCCTGTTGATCTGGAAAATATGAAGGGAATAACTCTGAGGGAGCCACTCTATGCCATTCATGAGGACAAGGATAACTCTGGTGGTGGCTGTGATGATGAAGCTGACAAGGCTGTGAAGACACTTCTGACCTTAAATGAACACAACGCTAATAACTCTTGTAGTGATGATGACACTGAGGATGATGATAATGTCAATGGTGATGATGTTGACAACGGGGAGGCCAGTGAGGAAAATTTTGATTGTTGTGAACCAAAACTTGATGCAGCAGAATCAATACAAGTTGCATAATGAATATATTATAGAAGCTAAATGGGGAATTTTTTTCTCTCCTGATTTTACCTGAAGGTGGAATGAGCTTGTATATAAACCATATGAAGCCCTGAGGTAGTTACATATGCAGAGGATAATGATGTTCAAGGATCTGACTTAAGGATAATTGTAGTGTATAGCATTATAGCTTATGTTTTTGGACTCATGAGATCAACTTCTATAGGCTCCATATTTAGGTCATGTGGCTGGTAGATGCGCAACTGCACATATCAGTTCAAACTGCATATTATAGAGTTAGCCCATGAGTAAAGTTTGTAATGATATTCAGTAGTTTTGGCATTTGACCATGAATCTTACAAGATTACAGAATTACAAAATCTGCCATGTCGAGATTCTTCTATATCTAAATTATCGTTCAAGAAGTATCTGATTTGATTTCTTAAGCAAGGTCCCGTTTTTTTCTGGTAAATGGAGGAAATAGATGTAAGTAGAATTTCCTTAGATTCGTTCTACTCCAACTACTACGGAACTCAGTTGACTTTTAAATTGATTTATTAGAAGGGAATTGTAAGGGAAGAAATTTCGTTTTAGAATTACTTTGTTGTTTCACATCATTATTGGTAAAATAATCAAGTGCTGTTTTATTGTTTTTAAAATTTTTGTTGTCCCAATAAAGATACACTTTGTAAAATAATCACATGCTATTGTGGTTCATCATCTGGTAAAGAATAATAATTAGGTCACATTTAGAATTATACAAATTCTTGAATGTTACAAGTTAACTTAATTGAAACTCCTAATAATTAGACAACTTTTATTGTGACAAGTAACCCTTGTGAGTGGGTATTAGTTAGACAAATGGAAACATTCAATCAGTATTTATTATAGTTGTTACCAAACAAAAGTAATAATAATTGAACAACAGGCTTCGATTTCGTCATATATGTTTCTATTTTTGCCGTTTGAAAAATATCTAATCGCATTTCATTATTTTTAAAGCTAAGCAAACTAATTTTATCGTTAATTCTTTCTCTAAGAAAATAAAATAAAATATGAACTTTTTACTTAAAACTAGTAACAATACATGCACTATATACTTTTATATCATAATAATAAAAAGATAAAAATTAATTTTATTATTAAATTTAGGTTAAAACCCTTTAGTTGTCCCTATTTATGTAGAGTTTTTTCAGTTCAATCTCCGTTCTTTTAAAATTGTCAATTGAGTCATAAATAATGCTAATTTAGATCAATTGGGTCCTTGCTGTTAAATTTAACTTAACGGAGTTAAGTTTTGTTGAGGTTGAAAGTTGACGTGACATATTTTTTAAATCTGACATTTAGAGAGTTTTATGTATAATTTAAAAATATTTTAACATTTTGATTAAAATATTAAAAAAAAAGTCATCTTCCATCTTCCATATCAAAATAGTGACTCTGCAATCAAGAAAGATTTTAATCAAGTAACCCCAATGCACCACCCTCTTCTCTTCCCGTGCTCCCCTTTCCTACTACTCAACCCCACCCTCACCCCTTCCTCCCTCTCGTTCCTTGCGTCCCCGTAATCCCTCACTCTCTTCGCCCCCACCAGCAATGGACCCACATGTGCCTCCTCTGCCACCACCAAGTTCATCAACACATCTTCAAAGTTTTGCACCGCGTCCACGATCCCCCGTGCGCAAGCCATGCCGGCGAAACGCGAATTCCAACGACTTTGAGTCCACCTCCACGTCGTCGTCGCAGATCAAAACGGCGCCGGTGGAGATGTGGTCAGGACGGGGGAGAAAGCGGTTGTTGAGGCTGGCGAAGGGTTGGAGGAGAAGCGATCTTGTATGTCTGAGTTTTGTCCCAGATCTTGTGGAAGTTTCCCAGTGAAGCTGTTGTTGAAGAGTTTCAGCCGATGCAGATTTAAAGCTAAAATTTCAGGAATTTCTCCCGAGAAGGTTGTCATTTAGGTTAAGAGAATAAAGACACAAAGAGGCTATTGCATGTGGTAGTTCCCCTGTGAGAGTGTTCTGAGAGAGGTCCAAGAGAATTAAACTACTGAGGTTTCCTAAACCTTAAGGTAATTCACCGGAAAACTGGTTTTCAAATAGTTCAATTTGTTCAATTTGTGTCTGGCGTGATTTAGGCGAATGGTTTAGTGGAGAAGAAAATAGATGATGATGAGTTCGATTGGGTGCGAAGAGCTTGAGCACTAAGGCACTGGATGGAAGGAGATGAATTAAAGTGAACATGGCATAGTCACTGTTTTGATTTTGTGATTACTTAATTGCAGGTTGATGGTGCAGGTTGATGGTGCACAAGGAAGAGGAAGATGATGGTGGATCTACGCGATTGGATTTTCTAGTTCTGGATGGAAGATGACTTTTTTTTTTAATTTTTTAATCAAAATGTTAAAATGTTTTAAAATTCTCTCTGAATGTCAGGTTTAAAAAATCTGTCACGTCAGCTTCTAGCAAAACTTAACCTGATAAGTCAAATTTAACGATAAAAACCCAATTGATGTAAATTAGCACTATTTAGGACTCAATTGAAAATTTTAAAAAAACAGAGATTGAACTAGAAAAACTTTACATAAATAGAGACAATTAAAGGGGTTTAACCTTAAATTTATAAAACAAATAAAAAAATAGAAATTAAGTATGAAATGAATAGTTTTTAAAATATTATTATAAGTAGGTAATTTTCTTTTAAAGACAGTTATTGAATTTTAAAAAATCAGTTTGAAAATCAGAAAGATAAAATAATAAAATTATTTATATTAATAAATCTAGTACATAAAACATAATACAGCACTGCAAAATTTCTATGATCCTGTTATACAAGCTAACTTCCAATTATGGGAGGCTAGAAGAGAATAATCTATTTCCAAGTTACAGATAGGAAGCAAAATAGGTCTCAGGGTAAACCGATCCCCTTTTTAATAAGCATATCATATACCCTGTCAACTTTCATGGCATCCAACTTGAACAATTGATGAGCATCGGATTTTGCAGAGACGGTGCCAGCAAGTATTTGCAGTGACAGTTGCTCTTGCATTTTTAGATACGTGGCTGGAGACAATCTTAGCTCACAGCACAAACGTTTCTCCTAACATACAAAACAGACCTCAGAAAATTAATTAACTGGATATATATTAATAAAGAAAATTTGGCCAAAACCATTTATAATAAGCATAGAAAAATATAAATAAACTTAGATAACTATTACAGTTTATATCAGGTCAATTCCAGAAGCTTACCGCTTCAGAAAGTAAATCTGCTCCATTGTATCCTATGGCATCCATCTCGTTGACAGAACTAGAAGTAGCTGGCCCTGCAGGTCTTGCACTCAGATCCTTACCAGCTGAATCTGGAGAAGTCAACGCATTTGGAATTCCCTGATTGCTCGGCCCAACCTGAGCACTTTCTTTTGTCCTTGTCCTTCGAGCATTTTCTTCAGCTTCCCTCTTTCTCTTCAATGAGATATATTTTTCAGCATCAGCTGAATTACGGCAGCCGGCTAACCGGGCTTCCTGCAGTATATCAAAAGTGAGAGTTAGAATCTAACAGAATATCAATTTCACTACAGCAATCTAAGTGCTTAATTAGGATGAAAAATTTTCTATTCTCCACATATGTCATACCAAGGGACAAAAAGCAAAAGAAAGAACAATAAAAGTGAATGTTAAACATGTTTCAAACCTTAAGCTCTTGAATTTTTTTCCAACTTCTATGCTCAAAGAGCATTGTTCTAAGTAATTCATCGTGATCTTCCTTAGAATGAAAGCGCATGAATATATCATATTTTCGACACATTGCCTTCTCCTCGGGTGTTAAATCCTTCTCCAATGGATTTGGGTATAACAAATTTCTTTCGAGTATGAAATCCTTCCTCCGCTTTCTTTCATCAAGCCTGCAACAATTATCGAATAAAAAATTCTTACTGTCAATACATCCAGACTTTGATGCTCTGATGTTTCAATTTGTTTTACAAATCTCTAAAGGATACTCTAGGATGCATCACCAATTCGTATCAATGAAGCACCAAAGCATATGAAGCACCAAAGCTTTTGTGATCATAATGATTTATAACTCTTTATTTGATCATGTCTAAGAAATGCGAGTTTAATTTGTACTGGTCCAATTACAGTCATACATTTATTGCATTTTAAGAATTTTTATACATTTTTAAATATATATTTGTCACGCTTCAATTATGATATTATTCTTAAAATAAGTGTTTCGTCATATCGAATATGCTCATTATCACGTTAATAAAATAATAGTTGACCTTAAATGATTAAAAAAACAAAAAATCATTAAATTGGTTATTTACCTCTTTGAATATAAACGCAATACACGTAATTTCAACTCTCGCTCTTCCTCAGAGTCAGTATCCTTAAATTCCATTTCAGCAAGTAGTTGTTCAGCATCATTATCATATTCAGGATCAAATTCTTGTCTTTTAGCATTGTAACCACTCAATTCTACTAAAGAAGGACCTTCATTTACTGAGGAAGTTGGCTTCTTTCCTCCAAAATCTCTGTCTATCTGAGAATCTGTCAATGATAGAGACTAGGAAATTTAATACATCAGAGTGTCATTAATCTCCTCAAAGAACATACATGATAGAAAATTAAACTACGTGAAAATCTTAGTTTTAGTTATACTAGTAATGGAAGAACTGCTTCATTTCATCACATATAAGTTATTGTTATGGTTGAAAAATATGCAACACACAAAAGTCTTTCACCTCTCTTTCTTTTATACGAATAAAAGTAAAAGGTGTTATTCCAACAGGTTGGTTTTTAAGTTTTTCGATGAAGTGAAATTCAAAAGGACAAAATTTATTAAAAGTCAATGAGGGCAAAGAACCAAACATAAAGATGCATACCTTCCATTTTAATGACTCCAGGACCACCTTTTCCCCTCGTCACATTAGATGCCTTTTGGTTAGCACCAGCTGCAGAGTGTGTGTTACCCGAGGGACTAGAATCTAGCTCTGCCATAAATAAACAAGATAGGGGATCCAAAGAATATGAAAATGGGTAAGTCGATGCATGGTTAACTAATCAGCTCTAAACTTATTTTGCTTTACCTGAATTCAAATTGGAAGACAAACGATTAGCAGTGCCCGCTTTATGTGAATCTTCAACCCTGAATGAACAAATAGACATTAGAGAATATAATATAAAGAAGAGAGATGAAGCATATAAAAATGACAGTCTTACTTGGCTCTAGATGGAGAGAAGGGAGATTCTGCCTTTAAACTAAGATCCCCCATAGAAATTCCTGTGCAAATCACAGGTGACCAATAGATATGAAAATGTCACTAAAACACAAAAAGCCTATCAACCATGCAAAATAATCAGAAACCACATATCGATCATGCAAAATAATCAAAGTATCCAGGCATTCGGTGCA